ACAGATATTTCTCAATCAGTTTAGAATATAACTCTCTCTCTTTTATGATTAACTGGGCTTCCCTGGTAGCTCAGACAGTAAAGAATCTGCCTGCAAGGCAGGAGACCTGGGTTTGATCCCTGGACTGGGAAGATCTCCTGAAGAAGGGCATGGCTACCCACTCCAGTATTCTTGCCTGGAGAATTCCATGGACTGAGGAGCCTGGTGGGCTACAGTCCATGGGGTAGCCAAGAGTCAGACATGACTGAGCAATTAACACTTTTCATCCCAATAGCTAGTTGTTATGTAGGAAAATGTTATTAACTTAACAAATACTTATTAAAGGAAGAGGTAGTAAACTAGAGACCCATAAGCCATATCAGAACTGTAGACAAATTTGGCCCAAGGGTGGATTTTGAATGTTCTTGTCAATATTTAAAAACCATAAGATTTAATATACTTCTACTGTATCTTTTCTGTAAAAGAAGCAGGACTGGTGACTGTATGACAGAGTGTAGGGCAAGAAAGTTTACCGCTTCAATACTTCAGTTTTGTTTTTGACGACAAACACATTAAAGGGAGGACACATGGGTTTATCATAGGATAGTAAGTTTAATCATGAACTTTTAATCAAAATGTTTTAAAGAGACCTATTTTCCAGCTCCAGTTTTCTAATAAATAGCTCTCATCCCAGTACTCTGGCCTCTATTATAGTTTATCACAATATGACTCTCGAATAACAACTTGAGAATATCTTGTGCACAAGTAATTGGACATAAGAAAATCAGTGATTCTAACTCACCCTGTAATATATAAAATATTTCCTTTGGGAACTGAATTTCAGGATTGGACTTGGAGGGAAAATCTCTCCCCATTTCTATGTAGCTCCTTCTGGTTTTATTTGGGTTTGTTAAAAGAAACTGGATTTCAAGAGATGGTAGCACTAACCAGTTCTGTTGTTTCAGTTCAGTTCAGTTCAGTCACTCAGTCATGTCCGACTCTTTGCGACCCCATGAATTGCAGCACACCAGGCCTCCCTGTCCATCACCATCTCCCGGAGTTTACTCAAACTCATGCCCATCAAGTCGGTGATGCCATCCAGCCATCTCATCCTCTGTCGTCCCTTTCTCCTCCTGCCCCCAATCCCTCCCAGCATCAGGGTCTTTTCCAATGAGTCAACTCTTCGCATGAGGTGGCCAAAGTATTAGAGTTTCAGCTTCAGCATCAGTCCTTCCAGTGAACACCCAGGACTGATCTCCTTTAGGATGTACTGGTTGGGTCTCCTTGCAGTCCAAGGGACTCTCAAGAGTCTTTTCCAACATCACAGTTCAAAAGCATCAATTCTTCCGCACTCAGCTTTCTTTATAGTCCAACTCTCACATCCATACATGACCACTGGAAAAACCACAGCCTTGACCAGACAGACCTTTGTTGGCAAAGTAATGTCTCTGCTTTTTAATATGCTGTCTAGGTTGGTCATAACTTTCCTTCCAAGGAGTAAGTGTCTTTTAATTTCATGGCTGCAATCACCATCTGCAGTGATTTTGGAGCCCCAAAAAATGAAGTCTGACACTGTTTCCCTGTCTATTTCCTGTCTCCCCATCTGTTTCCCATGAAGTGATGAGACCAGATGCCATGATCTTAGTTTTCTGAATGTTAAGCTTTAAGCCAACTTTTTCACTCTCCTCTTTCACTTTCATCAAGAGGCTCTTTAGTTCCTCTTCACTGTCCTGCTGTTTAGAAGTGTGCAAAGGACATTTTCTAGATTGTCTTATACTGTGTTTACTGAATGCTTTGTGTCTTAATGAAGTCAGCTTTGGAAGAACACTTTTAGGCGGCAAGTTTACTTTTCAAAAACTTCACAATTTTGAATAAGTAATATATGCTACAAAAATTCAAGTTACAAAAATGAATAAATCTTTCTTACTATAACTTCCCTAATTACAGATAGTTTCCCCCTATAAAGGCAAACACCAGGTTTTTTTGTATTTCCTTCCAGAGATATTCAAGATTTCATATACAATTGTATACATATGTGTTTTAAATATGTAGCTATAAATCATGCAGCCTGTAAACACCTGTAAAGATGTCCATCTTGGCAATCTTGCCAGTGTTCAGTTTTCAGCCTTGGAAATTTCTGCCCAATTGCCTTTTGTTGCCCTTCATGGAGGTTGTCACAGTTTACATTCTTACCCACAGACTATGAGAGTGCCTGTGTCCCCACCTCACCAACACAGTACTTATCAAACTCCTTTGATTTTTGCCAGTCTGAAGAAAAAGTAATACTGTATAGTTTAAATTTTATTTTTATTATTTCACCCTAAGATAAAATTGAAGTTGGGTGTGTTCTTGAGATGGATTTAAAACATTTTTCCAGTTTATGTTGTGAATTTGTATTTATTGCCATGAAAGACTATTTTTAAAATGTTTATCAGTTTAACAGATTCTCATAGCTTATAGATTTTTTTCATTTGGAATGATATTCTTCATTAAAAAATAATTCAATGTTTTGTTTTTTACACTTAAAAACATCTGGTCTGTCTGGAAGTTTAGAATAAGGTAAGGAGATAATGCAGGCTTAATTTTGAGGCAAAGATGTATATATTGTGATATATAATGTGTATATTCTATTGAGATGACAAATAAAAGTGTAATTCTTGGGAAAGAGTAGTTACTGTATTGCTTGTTCTTTTTAAGGGAGAGTCATTGCAAACATTTTTCACGGATTATTAAAATAACTTTTTCTGTAGCAAACCTAGAATACAGAAGGAAATAAAAATCCCCTATAATCCCACTACCATATTATATATAACAAAATTAGGACCATTATTCTGGAGACTAACATAGGTTTAGAAAATTCTTAAATTGTCGTTTAGCATCGCGTCAGAATTCCTGTTTTTCAACCATCCAAATACTTTTCTGAGGAGAAATCTAAGGCCTTTCAGGGAATGAATGACCTCTGCTTTAGGCGTACCTTTAAATTTTGAACAGTTTTGAAAAGGCCCCTTTAAAAGGAGACACCAGCCCTCAGCGAGTCTCCACCCCTGAGTGGAGGGAGCTCCAGGCCCGCGGGATCCTCGAGGCCGGGCGCCGACCTCTCGGTGCGGCCTGGCTGTAGCGTCCCCTGGTGGCGGCGAAGAGGACGGCCGAGCATAAGGTTGGGGGTCAGATCCACCGCCAAGCCCTTCTCTTCCGAGAAATCCTTTTAATCGGTTTGGGAGCCGCTTTCTTAACCAGGCCCGCGTTTGCCTCTGTGACCTTCTGCTGCACCTTCCGACTTTGAGTAGAGACTTGCGGCGCTGGAGGGGCCTTGGCGCTGCAGACGACCGACCGCCCAGTGGCCCCGAGGCGGGGCGAAACTCAGCCCGGGCGGCTGGGGCTGGTTTCCGCACCCGTCCCTCACCACCCAGCGTCTGGGGCGCTTGCGAAGTTTCGAACTTCCGGGGTTGGTTCTCCTGAGCTTGCGGTGGGGTGGCCGGCCGAGGGGCGTCGCTGTGCCGAGTGTTTGGGCGCGGCCCTTTAAACTTTTTTGCTTTTTAAACTTCGGGGGTGTGGTCGCGGTCCTCCTCTCTCCGCGAGTTGCTCCCTGGCCGCCCGGTACTTCCCTCCGCCCCGCCTTCCAGATGCAGTGGAGTCATGAGCCGGGAGGGTGCAGGGACCCCTTTGGTGGCCGAGGTGATCAAAGGTGAGTGCGGAGGGCGCGCCTCTGGGACACCCCCTGTTTAGAGGGCATCGGGCAGTGCCCAGGAGTCGAGGAACCCCTATTGCTGCTCAAGACGCGCCTTTAAACTTTGGGACCAGGGCCGAGGCTGTCTCATGGGCGTGGGTGGCCTCCCGGGACTCCTAGTGCCCAGACGTGGTCCTGCTTTGGGGGTGAATCCGCTTGACGTGTGCACTTGGGACCCTTGTGTCCTTACACCATGGCGCGTAGGCTCGCCACCTCGGAGCCAAGTCCCTGGTCGCTGTGCATGGGGATCAAGGGTCATTTGTGGTTGAAAAGGAGTAAGCTCCGTCATCTGTTTGAGTGTTTGTGGTTGCAAGACGTTTTAGTTGACGCATTCACAGGAAAAATATAGCAATTGTGTGCACTGAATTGTAGGCAAAAATTGCTTAAATTACTATTTGGGGAAAGGATGCCAGCTGGCATCTGTTGTTTCTTAACTGTTTTAGGGCTTGTACTTGATTTTGCCATAATTTGAATTTAAGTATTCTATTAGCACTACTGTTAGTATTACTACTACTAGTTATTGCGGCATACGGCTTCCCCAAGGATTTTTGGGCAACTCTTTTTGGGGTGGGGCGGGAAAGGAAGGGTGGAGCCTCCTTGCATTACTCTGTTAACATTCTTGCTAAACCTCACAGAAGCCTAACTTCATTTATGCAATGCAGGTTCATCTCATACACATCGTACAGAAAACTTTCCTTGCCTCTGTTATAATGGTGATTTGTCTTGATTGTAAAAATCACTACAGAAGTAGTGATTCCCGATCAAAAAAAGTGATCCCCAAGAACACTGGATAAACAGGATTTGTTTTGTGTTCTGTAGCCGTAAACATTAATTTTGAAGCAATTTTGAGAGCGTTGTCTTTCTGCTTAAAACATAGCTTCTTATTGAAATAACTTTTTAGGATGTCTTGAAAATATAGCGAAATATAGGGAGAATCATCAAGGCTGGTGGTCTAGCCATGAAATGCCTGCTGCCTTGCTGAAATTTTTTAATCTAGAATAGCTAACATTTTGCGATGAGAGGTTCATCCAAAAATTAAGTCGTATCACTATGTGAGAAGTTGCTTACTCTTCTTGAAACTAATATTGAAGGCAACTTCTCCGTTTTAAAAATTGCTTATTTATTATTACCCACCAAAATAGAATATTTTGAAGTTACCCATTGATACCCTTACCATAGGTAAAACATGCATGGAAAAAAAATTTTTTTAATTCATTTGAAAAGAGTTGCATCATGATATATGAAACGTTTTTAATAATGTGAAGGAAGGAACATTACAATTTTTCCATTTCAGATCGCCTTTGTTTTGCCATTCTCTTCAGCAGACCAAAGAGTTCATCAAATGTACATTATTTCAGCATAGATAATGAACTTGAATATGAAAAGTAAGTATTGTTTTTTAAAAGATTGTTAGTAACTTTTTTTTATTTTGAAAAATCTAAAGGTATGTTTATAAAATTGGAACATTGTAAATCTGTTCATCATTAGTTGCATGATGCTGATTTTAATCTTTGGTAATAAAATAGATCCTTAGGAGAGGAAAAATCAAAAAGTGAAAGAATTCTCCTAAATTTAACAATTTACATTTGAAATTCTAATAGTTTACAGTATAATGAAATTTAAACTAGTGTACTAAGTAAGATGATTTTGCCAGTGGAAAAATGTGTGGGAAAATAGCTTTTTTTATTCAGAAAGTATTTTCATGTATTATTTGAGGTTAGATTTAAAGGTGTAGCGCTTATCATGTTTTTTATTAGTCATCTTTTACCACAGTATTTCTTCTATTAGTAAGGCAGTAACCTTTAAGTTATATGACCTATAATAAATTGGTGTGTACTTTCTTCCTTTATTTTGATCTCATAGCTACAAAAAGGCAGTTATATGCAAAGCATCTGGAACACACATACACATTTTTGTGTTTCATTTTTGCAGCTTCTACGCAGATTTTGGACCACTCAATCTAGCAATGGTTTACAGATATTGCTGCAAGATAAATAAGAAATTAAAGGTAAAGTACTTTTTACTGAGGTTTCACTTAAGTAATCATTATTAGCCTGATCTTGTGGGGAAGAGAGGGAATCTATTTTTAAAAAGGCAGTGTCAAGTTTTTCACTCCAGTGGTGTTTGGGACATACATGTGGTTTATTGTTTTATGAAGTCATAATGTATCTATTTATTTTTCTAGAGTTTTGATGGAATGGTTTAAGTTTGGGTCATTCGATTCTGATTTGGATTGGTGATGTTTAGATACTTGAAAAGCGAAAGTGGAAGCTGTTAATAAAGTGAATCTCTTACTGTCTGAGCTAATAGAACTGATACCTAACAAGAGAAGCTTTCCTTCCTTTGGTCATGGTTCTTTCTCCCTTTACTGTGATAGGGAATGTTAGGAGACTAAGAGAAATCAGTTCATCTTACTTTATTATACCTTGGCTCTCTCATGATATTTTACTGCTTGTGACTCTTCACCTTGACCCTTTACACATATGATTAAGGAGTTGGGAAACAGGAGCAAACAGCATATATTTAAGATTGTATCACTAAAGTATAAGAGTGTATTACTGTTGGTTTGAACTTAGATGTTATTCATTTATTTTTTAAAAAACTTTGAATTACTAGTTATATAAAATAAAAAGTTTATAAACTGCTAGCAATTCCAAGAGTCACAAGTAGAAATTCTCAAGTAGAAATAGTGGATTTGGGGGCAGGTACTTTTTAAAACAAGTTTATTCAGTTGATTATTTATTAGGCTACTACACAGAAATAAAACTCATTGTCAACTAAAAATTATATTACATTGAAAATTAATTAGTGAGTAAGGCAGATGTTTCCTCCCTTGAACATCTGTCTTAAAATTCCACATCAGAAATACTTGGCCATCTAAGGACTTCTATCCTTTGGGTCAATGAAGATTATATTCATCCTTTTTTCAAAATTAAAAAGTCATTAATATTTCCTAGAACAACTTGTAGAGTATTGACCATCCAACATGATTGAAACTTTGATTCCTGTTCAATTAATACTGATAAAAATGTGTTGAGAATTTATAGTAAGAGTGTCTTATGCTTATGTTGCTTGAGGGCTGGTTGGGTTTGTTTTTTTTTTTAATCAACTTGCATCTCTTACTCTGTGTAAACAACTAAAGGAAAATTCATCATGTACATGTTCATCACTGAAATACCCAAACACTGGCTCATAGAAGTGAAGGAATACTGTGCTTATTCAGCTGAATATGTCCTATTCCTTACCCTTAATTGAAATATTTCAACTCAAGTTAGTGAAGTACATGTAACAACAAATCATGTTGTTCCTTTGGTTTTACTTTCTATATCCTTTTTATTTTTAACTTGATCAAGAACAGAACATTAGCAACACCCCGGGAACAGCCAGTTTACACTCTCCTGGTTATCTCTGTACCACCCTCCTCACTCCACTCCTCCCTACCCCATTCGCTGTCCTGGTTTCTAACAGAATGAATTATTTTACCTATTTTTGTACCCTTTTAATTTAAGGGTTTCAGGCATAGATTCTTTAAAAAAACCAGACAATAGGGAAAGGAAAGATCTCTTTTACTGCCTTTTCCAGCTTTTACCTATTCTTTCAGAGATAGTCTATACTTAGAAAGTGTATCTGTTTGTATCTCCTCTTTTTAAAAAAATTGAAGTGTGGTTGATTTATGATATATTAGTTTCAGGTATCTCCTCTCCCACTCTTTAATTGTACATTTGTTCTATTCCAAGAGTATGTCTTTTATGGGAATGTACATGGTATTTTTGAGTATCAATTTTAAAAGTCTTTCTGAATGCTTCAACATGTGAGATCCAGAATTTATTTTAATCACAAAATAAAGTTTTCAAAAACTTGAAATTAGAAAGGAAATACTAACAACTGTTTATCTTTATGCAGTCCATTACAATGATGAGGAAGAAAATTATACATTTTACTGGCCCTGATCAGAGAAAACAAGCAAATGCTGCTTTCCTTGTTGGATGTTATATGGTAAGTATTTAACTACTTTTCTAATATATTAGTGAAAATATGTACAACAGTGGTACTGGTAGTTGGCATTTTGATATTACTTTTTTCTAAGACATCTTGATCTCTTGCCAGAAGGAACATCTTTTGCTTTATAAAAATTGACCAAGCGGGAAAGTCTATGGTAAGGGTAAGGGGTATATGGGAGATGTCTAACCTACTCAGTTTTGCTATTCTGAACCGGAAACTGCTTTTTTAAAAGTCTATTTTTTAAAAAAAATCAACTAGTGTGAATACCTTTTTAAGCATTATGGCACTTAAGTTTAGAAAATAATGACCCATAGCTGTGTTTCTATTAAGTCATGATACATGTAGTAAAGTTATGAAGGTGGAATCAGGATTTCAATTGATTTATAAAAACAAAACCAAAATACATAAAAAGTGTATCACATGTGGTTAGAGTTCTTTATAGTTTGAGTACAGGCAATATTTCCCCAACTGAGGTATGATTCTGAACATGTCAAAGCATATAGCAGAAGGATATGGCATGTCAGTATCTTAGGAAAATGATAACATACTGTGTAGATTATATACAGCATTGAGTTGGATGGTCTGTTTAGGTCATTGGAAGATTATTTTGGAATAGCCAGTATTTCATGAGTTATGAATTTCATTCCTTTGTAAATATCATGGAAAGTGTTTGGTTATTTAGAGTCAGGTTTTGTTTAGTAGTTAGTGCATTGATCTCTAGGACTACCTGAGTAACAAATTTTCCTAAATAAGCCAAGAGGTCCTTCTGGAGTAGTGTTCTTCATGTTTTTGGTGGTGTGGAACCTAGCTGCTCTACTAAATGGGGAAAAATATCAAGTAGTTATTCTAGATAAAAAAAGGGTTGGTGCTGGAGTTCTTGAGGTAAGTTGTTTCTTCCCCCCAGGTTCCTTCTGTCATGCTTTCACTTAAAACTATTTTTCTGATGTGTAGTTTGAAAATTTGGAATTTACAGTGATTAGACCAAAAAGTTCATGGTACTTGTTGAAATTGCACCTCAAAATAGTTGGATAGTTTTCTTTTCTGTGTTTATGGTGTATCATTAACAACGACTAAGGCCTTTTTGGGGTTTGCGTTTGTTTATGGTCACAAAAGTAATTGAGAGAAGCGATTCTGAGATAACTAAGTTTTATTATCATCTCTGAATGTATGAAACACAGGTTGTAGATTATGTTTCTTAAAATTTGGTTTTTGTAAGCTTACCCACATAAGGACTTGTCATCTTTCCTGATGCTTACTGTACTTAGCAGCAAAACTCCTGAGAGGGCAGTGGTGGTGACAGGAGGCTATGCAGGATCCCAAGAGAAAGGGAATGAAGGAGGTGGCTGTTTTAAGTGGGATATTTGGTCCCATTACTTGGCTAGTCACTGGGGAGAGGAACACCACAGATTAAACTGTGATAACTTTCCAGGAAAAAGGACACAGCCAGAATTCTTGGTGTTCATAAAGTATTAAAGGGAGCCCTAAAGAAATGGCTTTTGGTGTAACAGTAAAAGTCTTTCTTGCCCAGGAGAAAAATCTGGAATGGCTGAAGTCGTTTCATTTAAGAGAATGTTCTCCTGAGCAGAACACACAGAGCTCTTCTGGACTACTTTGGGGTCAGTCGGTTGTCTCTCTCTGGTCAGATGAGATGATCTCTAAAATGGTGGGATCAAAAAAAAATAAATAGTGGGATCTGGAGTAAGCCAGATATGGTGACTTGAGTGTGAAAGAATCCCTTAGAGGGTAGCTGCGGGTATGGTGGGAACCAAGGGTTGTCTTAGAAATAAAACACTTCATAATTTTATAAATAAGAGATCTCTCTTTTTAGATTTTTGCTATTTTTTTTTTAATAGCTAGTGAAAAAACTAGCTATAGATCAATACCCATTGGAATATTGATTGAAAATGTGTTGGCATACTGGTTCCCAGTTTGGTGTTAGTCTTTTGACTTTGTTTATGGTTGTATTTTGGCATGTAGAAGTTTTTCTACAGCTAATATGTTTTAGATTTAGAAATTCTTCCAGGGTTTTACACTCCCAGGTTAGCAGTGATTTGACTGGTTAGGAAAGTGCCAAGTAAACAGTTACACTTGAGTTCATTCCTCTGTTCAGTTAGAAGCCAGCTTGGCAGAAGGTTTATGGCTCTTGGCTGTAGCAAATGACTTTGTAGCCATGACTGGCTGGCTCAAGTAGGAGATTGGGGCTATAATGATGCTAGGTGGGGAAACAGGCGAAAAACTTCTAAGAAAAGGAGATTTATTAATAGTAGCAAAGGAGTGTCAAGACATAAGTGTGGATACCCCAAGTAAGTAAGTAAGTGGTATAGGCTTGATCTGATTGAAGACTATGGAGTTCTCCGATTAAAGGTTTATAGAGATGAGTGAGAATTCCTTAAAAATTGACCTTCAGGTCTGATGACCTTTTCTGGAGTTGTTTGAGGAATTTTGGAGATAATAAGGCTTCTTAATGACTGACTTAGAGGGTGGTGTAGTAATATTATAACAAAAGCAAAAAGTCTGGAGGAAGTACAGTCAGGAAGAAGTATTCCAAATGGACTGATTCTGTTTAAAAGGACTGACTATCCTTTTATTAAACTCTGGGCCTCTGAAAGGAACCATTCTCCCTTCATCCTTGTATACTCAAAAAGACCTAATAGAGGGTGTGGAGAGAGTCAGAGGATAAAGTTGGTAATTCTGTTTATTTTTTTACCCTAACAACAGAAGCAGTTAGGCTTTACAAATACTTAAAATACTCAAATACTTAAAATAGGATTGACATGTCTGTACTTATATTTAGTCCTTTTGTCAGATGGCCAGGCGCCATGTGTGGTGTGAGAAATAAGAACAGCTTGACTTTTCAATGTGTTTCTAACTATTAAGTTTGTGTGGCCTGGCAAATGGATTTGCCAGTTATCTGAAATATTAGATTCTTGGGTAACAAATTAGGGTAAAACTAAAAATCTTTTTGTATCACTCACAATAAAAGAGTTGAGGGACATAAAAGAAAACTGAGTTTTGTGTGGTTTTTTTTTTTTGAGAAAAGGATAATTTAATCATAGCATTTTACAAAATGATAAGTTTGCTGCCCTGTTGTGATAAGTCAGTGGCTGTTTCCTAGCCAGATTTTGGGGTGGTGATACTTTAACCTGTCATTTCAAGTAAGGATGAAATTCTAAGTGGAAAAGTAAATGCTTTTCAAAACAAATTTACTTTTGTGAGAGCATTTCAAAAAAAAAAAGTTTGAAACTTTGTCATTTTGTTATAAAAAATGTGTATAAAACCCATGTTCGGACCTTTGAGAAACTTAGAAAAATTTCTTTTAAATGATACTTTTATCTTTATAGAAGCAGTATTTGTTCACCAGTATAATTTTATTACATGACTGTTTTTAGTCAGTGATCTGTTCTTTCATTTCAGTACATGTTTCATCATCTGTATACCCAGATTATATTTGTATTTCTCAATTAATCCAAAATGTCTACACCAATATCTAATTCAGGACCATGGTTGTTGTGTACTTAAATCTCTCTCACACATGGTCCTTTTTAGCTAACATTGATTTTTTTGTTTGTTTGTTAAGAAAGCAGACCTAGTTTCTTGTAGAAAGTTCCACCTTTTGAATTTCTCTGGTATCTTCTTTGTGGTTTTATTTTTTGTTGTTGTTCTTTTTCTTTTTTTCCCTCTGTGGTATTTTTTTTTTTTTGTAATATTTTTTTAAACTTGTTTCTCCATTATTTGTATTTCTTGTGAACTGAAAGTTGTAACAATAGGTTTGCATTAGTAGCATATGTTGTATCAATCAGAAAACATAGAATACCTACATTACCATTAGTGATGCTAAAAATGGCCACTGGATTAAGTGCTAACCATCAAATCTCTTCAATATATTGTTTTGTCCTTATGATTTAAACATTCTGTGTGGGGTGATTTTGGAACTGTTTGTATATTCAGTTCCCTATCAACCATGCATCTTGGTGTTTTAAACAGTTGAATATGCTTGATTGAATCAATCATTTTACTGGGGTTTCAGTATAACATTTTTCTAATTATTCATTCTTCTTTCACTTATTAGCTGGCTTACTTTTATGGGAATTAAGCTTTCCCTCATTCAGTTGGGACTCTGGTTACCCTGAAACCAATTTTCTTACCGAGAAGGCAGAATGAATAGCCAGTTCCCTCTAATAACTGGTTTTTGAAGTAAAGTATTACATTAATAGCCACAAAACAAAATTTTAAAACCAGCTTTAACAATATTTCAATGGGTTTTTAACTCATTTGCTAAATATTTGAAAAATGTGGAGCACTATTCTAGCATCTATTGATTAGCATTTAGGAAATGGGAAATTTACTAACCAAATGTGTACATCTTTGCGGAACAGGATTAAAAAACGAGTGTAATCATTCCTGCACTTGCATTTACATATCATGGTAAATGATATATAATGATATATTGAAGGGATTTAATTGTTGTTTTTCAATCACTAAATCATGTCCAGCTCTTTGTCACCTCATGGACTACAGCATTCCAGGCTTCCCTGTTCTTCACCAGCTCTGAGTCTGCTCAAACTCCTGTCTGTTGAGTTGGTGATGCCATCTAACTCACCGTCTATCTCCCCCTTATCCTCCTGCCCTCAGTCTTTCCCAGCATCAGAGTCTTTGCCAGTGAGTCAGCTCTTCGCATTAGGTGGCCAAAGGATTAGAGCTTCAGCTTCAGTACCAGTCCTCCAATGAATAGTCAGGGTTGATTTCCTTTAGGATTGACTGGTTTGATCTCCTTGCAGTCCACAGGACTCTCAAGAGTCCTCCAGCACGGCAGTTCAAAAGCATCAGTTCTTTAGTGCTTGGCCTTCTTATGGTCCAACTTCACATCTGTACATGACTACTGGAAAAAAAAACCCATAGGTTTGACTATACGGACCTTTGTCAGCAAAATGATTCTCTGCTTTTTAATACGCTAAGTTATCATAGCTTTTCTTCCAGCGAGCAAGAATCTTTTA